TAGATGTTGCAAACCCGGCACATGTCAAATCGGAACATCCAAATCTTGAAGCCCTGCAGCCAAAAACCCTGAAGCTTGTAATCACGTTAAACCTTTGCTGAGAACCCCAAGCTGTTGACCCATCCACATAAATCAACATTCCCAGAACCCTAAACTCCGTACAAAGCCCGATGACCTTAACATATCGTACTAAAATACCTTGCTCAGGCTGGGTATGACAAAGGCCGGTGAGAAGTTCGATGGTCTATGCGAGCAGATCCACGAGGAGGCTTGGTGTAGGATGGCCGGGGTTTTGCATTGAATTAGGCTGCGATATAAATGTTGCCAAACCAGGTATTGCTTCGACTTAGGTTGGAGAGGTTGCCCTGTGCTATGAAAACCCAAACAACACCCCCTACAATGTAGTTGTATCCTAACCCTATTTCTACCCATATCTGAATAAGCCCGGTCCTTAACCCCTACAATGTAGTTGTATCCTAACCCTATATATACCCATATCTGAAACCCGATCCTTATAAATCTCACACCCACTTAATAATCATAACCCGGCCTGATACCATTGTCCGCTGCCCGGCAGATCGAGCAGCTGAAGCTGACCAAAGGCCAAGCTTCAGGCCTTTTGAAGGAGTTGCGGAAGCGACCGTGAGTTGGCCTAGCATTGAGTGTTGGTTTCGGGGTAAGATGAATATTTAGTGACCGACTGGTTCACGCAAGAGTTTACTGCTCCAACGATGCCCCGAGCAATGCTCCTGCTGGCTGTGTTGTGCTGGCTGATGGCCCTGTGATCATTTCAAGGTATGCTGTGAGCTTTGTCAAACAGTTCTGATTGTTTGGTAATTCGGGCTTTCAGGGCACAGCTTCAAGATTTGAACCCGCTGCATTAAGCAGTTGCGGTGGGCAGGGGTTTGGGCTTGGGCCTTAGGCTCAGTCACCAGCCGAGCAATGCACATCCACACAAGTTGCTAGCTGGGAGTGCTGGAGACTGACACTGGTCCGCTTATGAGTGATGTGATCGCACGTGGGGCCATATGAGCAGGATGTCCGTGCTTGAAAAATTGGAACGTGTGCAGAACATTGCTCCGAGAGTGCACCTGGACTGACCCAGACCTTCACTCAAAACCCCTACACCCTAAACCCCTAAACCCTGTAATGCTATGCCCCCAAGACCGAAATGCCCTGGCCCACCGCAGGCAAGCCTTCCTCCAGCTCTGGATCCAAGGCTACGAGTGATCGCCTCGATGATTTGTTGCTCGGCTTCTCGGTTCTAGCTGCTTTAACCCGTCACAGCTAGATCCGAGGCTAGTCAAAGCGACGACTGCTGGTGAGGCAAGCTTATCACTGGCATGCTCCCTCGGAGCCTTGTGCTGAAATTAGTTGTCATGCTGCTTAAGACTTTGACATGTTTTTATATGCACTATACGTTAAATACTTTACGAGTATATAGATAATCGGTAACAACCCAGCTAGGTGACATCTATGACAGTGAATTATTGCATGGGTACGACACCCGTGCACTGCGGGAGCCTGAATACATTAGAAGAGTTTGCAAAGCTGGGTATGCCTTCAATACCGACGTGACCTATGTGGCTGCACCAGTCATCCGTGGTGAGGACGAGGAACCCTGCATTGAACAATGCCCAGTTGTGCTGCCATCCTCTATGGTGTTTCGGATTCTGACATGGCCAGCATGTTTGTGCATGAATGTTAGTTTTCCAAATAGCACTTCATCGCGAAGTCTACCCTAAATTAAGTTCAATTGTTCGTTTGTCCACAACGACCCTACCCTTGATTGCAAATCCCTGGTATAAGTTCAAGAAAATCGAAACCTCCAAACCCGTCCGGAAGCCACGACTTGACTTCAGGCAAGGGCACTGCTCGAGGAGGATTTCGTGGAGTCCATGTACCCATCGAGCGCTGATCTGCATTCTTACTGGGCCCAACTGCTGCTTGACTTCCCTGACCATTGGCTGAAGAACAAGCGAAAGCTTTGGAGCTACACAATCCCCATAGTCCTTTGGGGTGACGAGGGGACCCTCAATAACAGCTCCTGGATGGTGGTTTCGTGGCCGCTGCAGCTGCAAGCTTAAATCACAAGTTGAATTGAAGGATCTTGTATGAAGCCGGTGTAGCCTGGATTAAGTCAAACCCAACTATATATTTGTCTAAGGACTCCTGACCTGTCGGTATTCCGTGAGCACAGCAAAGCATCTCGTTATATGATCTACTCGCTTCTGGCCAGCAGATACTTTGTGAATGGCAAAACCAATGAGACCCTCCAGCACCTGAACGCTGCAGTGGTCAAGGACATCAACGAAGTCATGCATAAAGGCTTACCATGCAGCTCTGGAGATTCTTGCCCGGCAAATCCCGAAACCCTAAACCCTATGATATACCTCCATGATGTAGGGTTTTTACTAGGTCCTTATATTAGGTTTCGGGCGGGTGTACGCATAGTTTCTTTACAAATAAATATTTGTTTGTGGTGTAAGACTCGCTACAAAATAAGAACCTATGAGCCCACCTCATATACAGTTGCATCGGAGGAGACCTATTATTTTGTTCCGGTGGCTTTTCGTGGAGATCTCAAATATTTGACCCAATGCTTCAACTTCGTTCGCAACGCGAGCTCCCCGCAGGACTGTACCAGCCAAAACCGAAACCCTTAGATTTAAGGCCCAGGTCTTCACAACTCATTAGATTTTTTTTGTTGTTCTAAGGGTTTGGATTGAAATCAAAGTTTGGGTCGTGTTGGTCAAAACCTTTCTTTTGACTTCGCAGCTATATAGGTATGCTTCAAGTGTTTGGCATCGAGATCCGATCCGGGCATGCTGTACACCGACATCAATGTTGATGCTCCCTGGACAACGACCGAATATTCCCATGAGCCCTGGGTGGACCGTCCGGCTTTTGCATTTATCGATGGGTTTGATCTTCAAATGGTGCAAGTGGACTGGATGCACACGTGGTCGCTGGGGGTGGCACGAGACATCCTTGGAAGTGCCATAAAACTGATGTGCAGAGACACATCGATTTATGGAGGACCCACGATTCCAAAGCGGCTAAATGAACTCTTCAAAGATCTGAAGATCTACGCAGCTGCGACTGGAAAAACTGTGGCAATGAAGCGGCTTCGGAAAAGCTCGCTTCACTGGAATCGTGGCTGCCCGGAACTACATTGCAAGGCTGCGGATGCCTCGACCTTTATGTCATTCGTGCTGAAGAAGCTGGAGGAGTCCCCATTGCCGGGGCCATACGGAGGCTTGCTTGGCATGGTTTGGGCTGCCGACGAGTTGAGCCGCTGTGCCATGAGTTCCGGTGTGTTTCTGACGATGGAGCAGCAACGACACCTACGTGTGGTGGGCGATGTTTTCCTGAGCTCCTATTGTGCACTGGCCACAATAGCATGCGACAGAGGGGAGTACTACTTCAAGCTGCGACCAAAATTTCATCATTTGATCCACATGCTGAGAGACAAGCGACCGAGCAAACGATCGCCGGGGTGGGACAACTGTTATATGGACGAGGATCATATCAAACACTGTGTGCGCATCCTGCGCAAAGTAAGCCACCGAACGGCAGAACAATCTTTGCTTAAAAGAAATGCTGTGCAGGCGAAACAGGCCCTGCTGGAGTGCTTGCTGCCCAAGTGAGAAAACGTCGAAAGGCGGCGAGTGGAAGGGTTTTTTGGTTTAAGTTTCCGGTTCAAGGGTGTTGCTTCCGTCTTTAAGGGTTTTACTGTCGCTTTCGAGTTCAGGGCATTCAGGGCGACGAACGAAACAGGGAGACCCAAACCCAAAACCTATGTTACACCACTTCTTAAACCCGAAACCCCAACGCCCAAACCTTACAAACCCTAAAAAACCCTAAGTGTGGCTCAAGTGTTGTTTGGCTCAAACAAACCCTAAAACCCTAAGTGTGGCTCGAATTGTTTTTATATGGCTCAAAACAAGCCGGACTCAAATCACAGTAGGTGTGGCTCAAATGTTATTTGCTCAAGCATGTGTGGCTCGATTTTTTCACGTGCCTGCGATGAATATATCGCTGCTTGCTGCCAATCTCTGTGGTTTCGGGCCGTCCCAAAAGTTCCGGACAAACCCGACCTGTCCGCGACATTCGGCTTGGTTCTGTGACATTCGTGAAATCCATGGCGAACTTGTTTGTTCGACCCGATTGAGGCGAAAACTGTTGATTCGTCTTTTTTGTTTTCAAATGTCTCTTAAATGACCAAATGTCCTTTAAACTTCAAATGACTCTTATATACGGCGCCCAAACGGGGGTATAGGTACATTTAAGGTACGCCACGTCTTCTAGGTATCAACGGTCACCGCGCGCACCTCCTCGGCACTTTGCTGTTTCCGCCTCTTGGGCGCTCGCTCCTCCCCAAACAAGTTCTCTGCAGGAACTGCACCCCCCAACGCGGCTTCCAGCGCGCCGTCACGCAGCTTCTTCAGCTCTTCCAGCTGCGGGGAGCTCGCCAGCGACATGCCGCGTGGGCACTTCCCGCAGACGATGCTGCAGAGCCAGGGCGACGTCGGCCGCAACTGCACGTACTGCACTCCCTCCACCGTGCACAAAAAGTTGCTGGGGATTTTCCGCGTCACTTCTCCGCGCGCCACAAACAGCTCCTGCGCCAAGCGCACCTCCATGGCCAAGCTATATATATATGTATGTACAAAACAACTTAGCTTTATATTATCATGCATGCATGCTTTCCATGACCGCCCTGTATATATAGGCGCCGAGGCGATGCATGCTTTATCTTTTGCCTGCCATACATATAAATATGTATATGTATATATATACATATATATATGCATGATCCATGTTGCACATCTCCCTTGCGGCATGCTGTTTTTTTATAAGAGCTCATGGCATGCCCTTGAGAAAGCCGAGAAATTGAGCAGCTGGCGAGCCATCATGAAACTTCTCACAAACAAATCATGCTGCATGCAAATGTTTGCAAATAGCACGGTGGCAGTGCTATACTCTTTTTCAACTTCTCACGCCGCCTTCTTGGCGCGCTTCTTCGGCGAGCCTTGGTCGGGAGCTTTCAGCTGCAGAAGCTCATGCTTCAGCACTTCCTGCTCATTCGTCAGCACCGGCACGGTCAGACCTGCGATTTTCGCACTCGTCACCTGCAAGTTGCCTTCGTCGGACGTTTTGTACGCCCACCAGAACGCCACAAGCACGCTTGCCTTCGCAAAGTCTGCGGTGGGACGCACAGGCTGCACAGCGAAACTCTCGCCCTCGAACTGCACCAACACTGCACCTTCCTTGGCCTCCCCGGCCTTGACAGCAGCAAGTGTGCCCCCAGGCCAGAGCTTCAGCTTCTTCGCCTTGTAGGTTTTATCCGCGTAAATCGCGCACGGATTGGCTGCAAACAGCACCGTGCCGCAGCTCTGCTGCTCGAAGTGCTGCCAAAGCAAGGTTTGGGCACGCAGTCGGCGGATTTCGCCGCTGAGGGCGCACGGCGGCTGCAGAGCTGCAGCCACTGCAGGCTCACAAAGGAAGCACTCCGCAGCTTGCGTGCGCTTCCAGCTCTTCAGCTTCTGCAGGTCCTGCGACAGGGATATATATATATATATATATATTAAGTCATCTATAAAGCTCCTGCGTGCAGTCTATATATATAAACCTTGCATGCAGGCCTCGATGACCTCGAGCTCCGGCTCGAACAAGCGCTGCCCGCGAAAGACCGCGCCCGCAGCGTCCAAGCTCACCAAGCGGAAGACTTGTGCAGCGTGCTCCTTGTTGGTATACCGCTCTCCCAGCATCAGGTGCTTGTTCCCCTGCAGTGCCACGACCGCCGGGTCGGCGCACTCCTTCAAGCTCAGAGCTCTCTCCGGCTGCTGCTTCGAGCGTTTGGTCCCGGACGCCGCCGCTGCAGGCGCACCCTCGCCCTGCAGCTCCTTCGCGAACACCGCGCTCACCTCCGCCAAGTTCGCGTAGACCCGCGCCTCCCTTCCAGCCTTTTGCTTCTGCAGTAGCAGGAGCACGGCTCGCACCATCAAGCGGCCCATAGCCTTCAGAGGCTCCCCATTCTCCGCCAAAGCTGCCGCCTGCAGGTACAGCGGCCAAGCGCGCGCCAGACACTCCTCGGTCTCCGCCACCCGCTTCGCGAGCGCCGCCCCGCGTAGCTTCTCTGCGTCACTCGACAAGAGAAGTCGCGCAAACCCATCCCTGCATTTCTGCACCGGCGCCGTAAGCTGGCATGCCAGCAAGGCGCACCTCACCATCGGCAGAAGTTGCCCCTTCACTTCTGTCGCGACCACTGCGCGCACGAAATCCTCCCCCAGCATCATAGATGCTCCGAAGACCTTGCTAAAGCAAGCCAAAAACTCGACCAGCGGGAACCGCTCACCTTCTCCCCCGCCGTACAACAAAACGTACTGCGCCAAGCTACCCGCGTATTTCGCGCACGCTGGTTTCGACAGCAAGAGCTGCTCCAGGGCAGCGTCCTTGCGCTCTTCCTCGGTCAAGCTGCCATGTGCTCTCTTCTGCATGAACAGACTTGCAAAAGTCTGCATGCACTCCACCTCACTCAGCACCTTCGCAGCAGCGTGCGCCGTGTTGTAAGACTGCTGGAATGAAGTCGCCAGCTCTGGAAAGCTCGCCTCAACAGAAGAGGAAATGATCAACCATTCCCAGCCGTCGCGAAGTAGCACGTTCACCGGGTGGTCCGGCTCGCGCCCCGCCACAAGGGCGCCCAGGCTGCTACCGTCCGCGGCACGTGCGCCTGTCACGGTCGCCTTCAAAAAGGCCGCTGTGTGCGACCCCGCCACGGTGAGAAACCGTTCCGTTCGGGTCACGGGCGCCAGCATTCCCTCTGCAGCTGCGACTACGCGCTCGTTGGCCGCGTACTGCGACTCGCGCAACGTGGCATCGCTGCTCATCTCGAAGCAAACGCTGCCAGCTTCCAGGAGCTCCCGCCGCAGCCCGGCCTCAAGCATGACTCTGCCATTGGCATGTGCATCGTGCGGTTGCACCATCAGCCCTCCGCGATTTTTTGGATGCACGAGCATAGCCGTCACAGGCTCCCTTCGCTTGTACGCAAGACCTGCGCTCGTCAGCACCTGCACCACTTTTTCCACCTTGGTCCCCAGCTCCTGAGAGCTCTCCAACAAGGCCGCGACTTCTGCACGCGTGCCTGGCTCCATGCCGCCAACCGCTAGCTTCGCTAGACTTACGTGCTCTGCGGCGTCCTATTACCAATAGTGATGCTGACATGCTTCTTGGCCTGCAGCCTGTGTGTGACTTTTGCTTGCTGCTGCTGCTGCTGCTCCTGTGCTGCTGGTAAATCTTGCACATGTCCCCGGAGCACGCCTCCGGGGCTATATATGGCTAATGCACTGCCGCCATGACCTGTGCATGCTTCCTGGACTTTGAGCCCTTTAATTCATGCGGCAACCAAATGGACTTCAATTCGCAAGCGGAATTAGAAATTAAATCCCGGAATGTCCATCAGAAAAACACTGCATGTCGTACTCGCAACTTGCTTCTGTTTCACATTGGCACTCAAAGATTTACACAGCGTCATGCAAGGAAATGACGCTTATAATACATTGATAAGTGGTTATGCAATCACTGTTATAACCACTATAGGACTTATATTTTTTATGCTTAACCACTTACATAACGTATCATAACCTTTTCTGTAAACACCATAAAAAATATAACTTTTATATAAGATCACATAACTTCTATAACCTTGTATCACTCTTATAACAGTTTACTACTGGCTTACCACTAGCTTACTAACACGTTACTACCAGCTTGTCATCCTCTGTAATCCTTCCAAGTCATTAGCTAAAACCCGGTCCATTAAAGTAAGTCATCTATAAAGCTCCTGCGTGCAGTCTATATATATAAACCTTGCATGCAGGCCTCGATGACCTCGAGCTCCGGCTCGAACAAGCGCTGCCCGCGAAAGACCGCGCCCGCAGCGTCCAAGCTCACCAAGCGGAAGACTTGTGCAGCGTGCTCCTTGTTGGTATACCGCTCTCCCAGCATCAGGTGCTTGTTCCCCTGCAGTGCCACGACCGCCGGGTCGGCGCACTCCTTCAAGCTCAGAGCTCTCTCCGGCTGCTGCTTCGAGCGTTTGGTCCCGGACGCCGCCGCTGCAGGCGCACCCTCGCCCTGCAGCTCCTTCGCGAACACCGCGCTCACCTCCGCCAAGTTCGCGTAGACCCGCGCCTCCCTTCCAGCCTTTTGCTTCTGCAGTAGCAGGAGCACGGCTCGCACCATCAAGCGGCCCATAGCCTTCAGAGGCTCCCCATTCTCCGCCAAAGCTGCCGCCTGCAGGTACAGCGGCCAAGCGCGCGCCAGACACTCCTCGGTCTCCGCCACCCGCTTCGCGAGCGCCGCCCCGCGTAGCTTCTCTGCGTCACTCGACAAGAGAAGTCGCGCAAACCCATCCCTGCATTTCTGCACCGGCGCCGTAAGCTGGCATGCCAGCAAGGCGCACCTCACCATCGGCAGAAGTTGCCCCTTCACTTCTGTCGCGACCACTGCGCGCACGAAATCCTCCCCCAGCATCATAGATGCTCCGAAGACCTTGCTAAAGCAAGCCAAAAACTCGACCAGCGGGAACCGCTCACCTTCTCCCCCGCCGTACAACAAAACGTACTGCGCCAAGCTACCCGCGTATTTCGCGCACGCTGGTTTCGACAGCAAGAGCTGCTCCAGGGCAGCGTCCTTGCGCTCTTCCTCGGTCAAGCTGCCATGTGCTCTCTTCTGCATGAACAGACTTGCAAAAGTCTGCATGCACTCCACCTCACTCAGCACCTTCGCAGCAGCGTGCGCCGTGTTGTAAGACTGCTGGAATGAAGTCGCCAGCTCTGGAAAGCTCGCCTCAACAGAAGAGGAAATGATCAACCATTCCCAGCCGTCGCGAAGTAGCACGTTCACCGGGTGGTCCGGCTCGCGCCCCGCCACAAGGGCGCCCAGGCTGCTACCGTCCGCGGCACGTGCGCCTGTCACGGTCGCCTTCAAAAAGGCCGCTGTGTGCGACCCCGCCACGGTGAGAAACCGTTCCGTTCGGGTCACGGGCGCCAGCATTCCCTCTGCAGCTGCGACTACGCGCTCGTTGGCCGCGTACTGCGACTCGCGCAACGTGGCATCGCTGCTCATCTCGAAGCAAACGCTGCCAGCTTCCAGGAGCTCCCGCCGCAGCCCGGCCTCAAGCATGACTCTGCCATTGGCATGTGCATCGTGTGGTTGCACCATCAGCCCTCCGCGATTTTTTGGATGCACGAGCATAGCCGTCACAGGCTCCCTTCGCTTGTACGCAAGACCTGCGCTCGTCAGCACCTGCACCACTTTTTCCACCTTGGTCCCCAGCTCCTGAGAGCTCTCCAACAAGGCCGCGACTTCTGCACGCGTGCCTGGCTCCATGCCGCCAACCGCTAGCTTCGCTAGACTTACGTGCTCTGCGGCGTCCTATTACCAATAGTGATGCTGACATGCTTCTTGGCCTGCAGCCTGTGTGTGACTTTTGCTTGCTGCTGCTGCTGCTGCTCCTGTGCTGCTGGTAAATCTTGCACATGTCCCCGGAGCACGCCTCCGGGGCTATATATGGCTAATGCACTGCCGCCATGACCTGTGCATGCTTCCTGGACTTTGAGCCCTTTAATTCATGCGGCAACCAAATGGACTTCAATTCGCAAGCGGAATTAGAAATTAAATCCCGGAATGTCCATCAGAAAAACACTGCATGTCGTACTCGCAACTTGCTTCTGTTTCACATTGGCACTCAAAGATTTACACAGCGTCATGCAAGGAAATGACGCTTATAATACATTGATAAGTGGTTATGCAATCACTGTTATAACCACTATAGGACTTATATTTTTTATGCTTAACCACTTACATAACGTATCATAACCTTTTCTGTAAACACCATAAAAAATATAACTTTTATATAAGATCACATAACTTCTATAACCTTGTATCACTCTTATAACAGTTTACTACTGGCTTACCACTAGCTTACTAACAGGTTACTACCAGCTTGTCATCCTCTGTAATCCTTCCAAGTCATTAGCTAAAACCCGGTCCATTAAAGCAGCATCCGTGTATAATCCGGATTTGGCCTTGCAGCCGTATTATGCGGGGGACATAGCGAACCCGGACATCATTATTGATGTTTTTACCTGGGGCTATGAGCACCATGCCTGGCTGCAACGCGTCAGAGGGAAGTGGACAGCAGCCGAGCTCTTCGCACAGCACGAAGAGATGGAAACGCATGCAACCACGACGTATGCGTCTGCCACCAGCTATATGCTGGTGATGTTGGACATGGTGTGGCTAAAGGACGATCGCAAAGACGATCTGACGCCTGCAGAAGCCCAGCAGCGCAACGATGAACAGCGCGACCGCACAAAGCATGTTGGGTCAAACCCCGATATAATTCGGGAGCACGCAGACCATCCCAATTTGATTGCCCACGTCAGGCACATCTTGGCGAACATCCTCGACGCCAAGGATGCTGGGATTCGGTCCATAGCCGTGCATGTTGTTTGCAAGGCCAACAGACATAGATCTGTTGCGGCGGGTATCCTTACCCATGCGACGCTTTTGGAGCTTGTGCCGGATTGCTCCGTCAGCCTCACTCACATGAGTGCAGCGAACAGTTGGCCGTTCATGGGCAGCAAAGCGTGCAAAGGGCAGTGCCCCAAGTGTTTGCACCGCGCCCCTGGCATAGCCCAGGAGGTTGAGGATCTTACGAAGTCCTTCGTCGACGCCGTCCGCATAGACGGACCGGAAGACAATGAGTGCATCCTTGTCGTGGAGCCGCAGTGTGCACGCCCTGATGATCAGCCTACATATGCTGAGCGGTTTCATGAACGCCTGCTTGCAGAGGGCCGCATACAGGCACCGGTGACGGGGGTAGGTCCCCTTGATAGGCCTCCCCTGGCAGGCGAAACCGCGTACCAGGCTGCAACCCGCATGGGGCTGGTCGGCAAGACACATACATCGTATGTGGCCAAGTTCGACCCCAACTCGCTCACTGCGGCGATGAATCGCGCACAGGGCACAGCCCCTGGAGGACGCTTGCCTTCGGTTACCTTTAGCTCGGGTCCTAACCCTGCTAGTTCTAGCGTAGGTGCGTCAGCCAAGGGCGGAGCGGCCCCCATATATGGGACCGAAGGACACACCGACACCGCCGCCGGCAAAGTCCGGTGGGGCACAGGACCGCGCAGCGACGCCGACAGGGTCGTCGCCTCGGATTCGCAGGCTCGAGGCCGAGGTCCACGACCTCACCGATGCGAATCGCTGGTAAGAAAGCACTATAAGTGACTTGAGAGAGGCCCTCAGCAATGTGAAGCGGCAGCGCGATAATGCGTATGACCGGCTGCAGGACATGCGCGAGAGGGCAGAAGACGCGGAACACCGGGCCGATAGGGCCGAGGCGGAGCTTCAGAGGCTCACACGCCGCTCCAGATCGCGTCGCAGGCGGAGGGATAGTTCCTCCTCGAGCAGGGGCCATCGCCGTGACCGCACCCGAGAAAGGCGGCGAATGGAATCCAGACCTCGGGATAGGTCCGAGGCTCCGACACGCCAACGCACCTCCCGTTGGGGTCGCGTCCGCGCCGACCCAGGCGACGACCGTGCGGATCGGGACACAGCTCCCGAGCGCGAGCGCATTCGTGCAGGCCGGGACACAGCTCCCGAGCGTGAGCGCACGAATCCTCGCCCCTCTGCACGGCCGGAGGTGGAGTATGAGCCCGACAAAGGCAAGGGCAAAGGCAAGGCTGCACCCCACAGTGTGTACGACGAGGTCGAGTACGACGACGGCACAGGTGCAGGTGACCCAGGAGCAGCCTTGGAGGCAGCAGGCGCCCGCCTGAACCGCCGGAGCCACCGCGCTTCCGAGGCAGTGCTGGTTACCATAGGTTTCCAGAGCGCGAGAATCCGCACCGCCCCATGACAGCAAACGAGTCATGGTGGTACTTCCACGGCGATAGGCCGTCGGCCGAGTGGAATGACGCGGAATGGGCAGAATTCCGTCGTCAGTTCCCGAAGCCCCCAGGGCAAGGCAAGCTCGTCGAAATCGACGAGAGGATCCTGGCCATCGACGTTGGTGCCATTGGACTCAGCCCCGACACAGGTTTCGGGTGGAACAGGCGCATCGTGTTCCAGGACTTTCCTGATGGTGTGCTGACCGCCCTATACGAGGTGATGTGCGAGAAGCAGGCGCCAGCGTGCTGGATCGGTCCATATGCACCGAGGCGCTTCTGGGCTGGTGACAAAAATCACCATGAGCTCAGCGAACGGCACAACATAAAGTGCACTGTGGTCACCCGCCACACAGGCCGTTCGTATAAGCCGACGGGCAAGCTACGGGACATAGATCCCATAGGATATTTGTTTTCCCATATGGACCCCTCCGACGGCACCAGTTGGACGTATGAAGGCGCATGCTTTCCGCCGGGGTCAGACTCCGAGAAGTTGCCCACCGAAACCGGTGGAGCCGAGCAGGCCTGCCCGACGCAGGAGCCGACGGAAGACGGCGCATACGTCGCGCTTTGGGTCTTTCCCTTGGCGTTCGACGCGGCCACGATGCCGCATCAGATCGAGGACACAGATGCCTTGAGTGCAGTGTATATCCCGGGCACAGACCCGCGGGCGTCGCGCATTGCCACCTCTGCCAGCCCGGGCACAGTCCCGGAGGGTGACGTTTCACCCATGGAGGAGGACGGAGCAGAGCGCGATGCAGCATACATGGCCGTCTGCAGTGGGGAGTGGGTAGGACAAGCCAGCCAGATTTCTTTTCCAAGCCCTGATCCTCCCGAAGACCTGCCCCACAGTAGCAGCGCAGCCTCTGGGCCCTCAGCCGCTAGCCTAAAGAAGCTTAGCAAGGCCCAGTCCAAGTACCTCACCTCAAGCCTTACCGAAATGGTAGCGGGAGACGAAGTCTTAAAGGCAATCGTGTACAACGCTGCCATGCGAGAAGCTGATCACCTGATTAGATTGCATGAACCCTCGGCACAGGTCCTCGCGAGCGTGATCAACGAGAGGCAGAACGGGCCACCGGGCCTCGTGGTTGCCAGGTTTGAGACTTCCACAGAGGAGTTGTGTTTGGAGCTTGAGTGTGTAGCCGATACCCTCAACATTCCGATCATATTGGTTACCCCGAACGGCTATCCAATGCTTGAGGACACTGTTACCTTGAGGGGAGACATGCATATCTCAGGCATAGGCCCAGAGATTGGAAAGGCTTTGGACCTCTTCCAAGCATGGTCAGAGTCTTACGGGTATATACCCCGTAGCTATGTTGATACGGATAGTACTGACTTTTGGAACCTTTGTCGTACCATTTCTGAGGAGTACTACATCAACGCATTTAGCCGAACTTGCTTTGTCGGCGACGCCCAGGACACAGATCCTGAGGACATCAGCGAAGCAGAGCTGGTGCCCGACGCTGAGATGCCTCAGCGAGGTGTCCCTGATGGAATGGACGATGCCGGTGGCGCACTGACGCCCGAGGAGAGAGAACGCCTCATTTTGGAACAATTCCCGTTTCCCGGAACTCCGAACACAGAGGCAGAGCGCCGAGCGGCGTGGAGATCGTTACCGCAACGAGTCCGGGTAGCTATAAGGCGCCTGCACCGATCGTTTGGCCATCTGCCAAACGCAGTCCTGATACAGGTTCTGAAGCAGGCCCGGGCGAGCAAAGATTTCATCGCCGCTGCCGGACTTTACAAGTGTAAGGTCTGCCTGGACACAGCTCCAGTGCCCAGGCACCATCCTGTCGCAGGTGATAGCGTGTTTCCAAAGGAATTCAACCATACGATAGGAATGGATGCGCTAGAGGTCAAGGACTTCTTCGGAAATCGCTATACTGCTGTCAATATAGTTGACATGGGAACCAGTTTCCAGCAAGTTGTGCTCGTGAAATCTGGGGGTGGTAACCCAAGTGCCCGCCAGTGTGTGAAATGCCTGATTGACAGGTGGATCAGCTGGGCTGGACATCCCAAAGTCATCACCACTGACAGAGGGACGCACTTTAGGGGAGAATTTTCAGAGTATTTGGCACAACATGGTATAATCCATAAGAACGCCCCTCTCGAGAGTCCGCAGACTATTGGAAAACGCCATGGTGGACTTGCTAAGGCCATCATTAGAAAAGTCGCGCAGGAGACTCAGCCCTCGAATATCGAGGAGATGGAGGCGGTCGTTACCGAGAGTGTTACTACTAAGAACGAGCTTAGTAGGCACCAAGGGTTTAGTCCAGCACGACACGTGTTGGGAAAGCAGCCTCGAACACCGGGTTCCATGCTAGATGAATCCGAAAGTCTTGGTACATTGTTCACCAAGTATGATGAGACGAGTGTATACTACATTCGGCATAGAGCACGGCAGGAAGCCAAAAAGGCCTTTGTCCATTTAGA